CGGGGGGACGAGGGACGGGCAGCACTCCCCAGGTCACAGCCCGCTCGGGATGTTGGCTTGCTTTCTTTGCTGTTGACTTTCTTTTAAACTATGCTCGTCTCCTGCCTGCTGTCTGAGCTGGTCCAAAGCAAATGTTTCCTTCTTCACACGGCTGCCAAAGAGAGACCACTCTTGGAAAGAGGATGGCAGGAAGGAACAAAGACTGCACGGAATTTTTTTGACCCGTCTCCTCCACCTCTGCTTGAGTACTGCTGTCCTAGAAGCTACTGAGCAGACATTCCTCTTGGCTTTCGGGTTGTCCCTAACTCTTAGCCATTTGCCAGCGGTGCGTTAGGTCTCAGTGAGGACCCTCCATCCTCTGATGTCTCACAGGCTCCACGGGCAATCGCTGCCCGCTCCCAGGAGCCCTTCATGCAGGTCTCCAGCCTGCCTGGCCCCTTTCGCGGTGGGGCCATGGGGTGTGTGTGTGAAGGGAGCTCAGTGCTGCACGTCATGTGTTTCTGACAGCGCAGCGGCTTCGTTTCCGCGAATGCAGAGAAGAGTGATCATTGGAACCATATCCCAAATAATACAAGGATAATACATGTGGTTTTAAGGAAAATTCTCACTCTTCTAGTAAAAATGACACATTGATGCATGGAGTGCCTATTAGCAGAGACATTTTAGACACTGGAAATACAAACCTAGTGAAAATTTTAATGAAGTAGTGATATCTTGGTTGGTTGCTGGTGAGAGTCAAAAACAAAGACTGATGCTCCAGCACCTTCAGGTGCCTATTTGTAAACATGACTATCTGCCCTGTCTGAAGTTAGAAACACGTAATGATGAAAAGCAAATGCCTGCTACTTTGCTTCTACCCCAGACTATGGTCTCTCTGTAAAATCTTGGCGTTTCTGCATTTATAATTTTTATACATTTACATAAGTTAAATACACAACTACATTTCAAGTTCCATCTCTGACCTGCCTGTAAATTAATCTATCAGTATGTATAAATGTTTATTTAATATGGTGTACAGCAGCCTCTACTGGTGCATGTCTGCAGAGGAAAGCAATGTGTTATGTAGATAGCGGCACTACTTTTGCTCTTATTTATTTAAATAAACATTTTTCCTTCATTAACAGCTTAGCTATTTAAGTCAAATACAGATTTTTATAGCAAAAGTAATAAAAATTCTCAATATATGCTGGCAAAGTAGAATGAAACAAGTGGAATTCAAATTTAAAAAATCATTGTATACCTTCCATCAAATATTGTTTCCTCAGTCTACATGCTGTCAAATCAACAATATGCTTTTAAGTCTATTTATATATAAAGAACACAGGCTTCGCTTCCTGCGACAGATGCTTTGGGAACTTCGATCAAATCTGTTTCCAGACCACAACCTCACTACTACTCCTCTGTCTCGCCTTCCAGATCACCATTTTAAAAGCATCTTTAAATTTAACTGCTGAAAGGTGTAAATTCTTCTTTTTCAGTTCTGTCTTCACAGAGTTCTCATAAGCGTACCATATGGATGCTGAAGGCTGATTCCTAATTAGCAATGCCATCCATTATTCTGATTTTTACACTACATCTCCCAAATGTAATGTACACTTCTATTCTGAACATCCTTTTCATTTTGAAGTAGCAGAGAAAGATCATAGAATCATCGAATCTCTGGGTTGGAAGGGACCTTGAAGGTCACCTAGTCCAACCCCCCTGCAATGAGCAGGGACATCTTCAACTAGATCAGGTTGCTCAGAGCCCCGTCCAACCTGACCTGGAATGTTTCCAGGGATGGGGCATCTCCCACCTCTCTGGGCAACCTGTGCCAGAGTTTCACCACCCTCATTGTCAAAAATTTCTTCCTTCTATCTAGTCTAAATCTGCCCTCTTTTAGTTTAAAACCATTACGCCTTGTCCTATGGCATGTGCCCTTTGCATTCCGGTGGACACGTGCTCATGGTTTGTTACTGCTGACCATGCTTTATCCTAGCACTGCCCCTTCAGAAAGCTCTGACTTAGCTGAAACTACGCTGTGTAAAGTTACAGTATGCGGCACATCCATTCTGACTCTTAGGAAATAAAATTTGTGCTAGTCTGGCCCTCACAATTACTGAACCAGAAGCTTTTGTGAGCAGGACTTTTCCCTCATTAATACTAATGAAAATTCTAGTGTCTAAATAATATGTTTCATATTAAAATATTCTGCCTTTGCCTGATTAGGCTGCAAGGTATCATACAGAGGATGCAGGCAATATTTGCAAAAGAAGACTTCAAGGATTTGTTGGCAGCCTGGGAACAGTAAGTTACCGGAAGAAAACTGGTGACATGATACTGGATAATATTTTTTTTAGCAGACTCATCACATACATAACAACTAAAAGCACAGCAGAAACATCTGTATCAGTACTGCTTCAGATGATGTTATTTTAGCCCCAAGGATATGCAGGACTTTATTCATGAACCTGTATTTGCACACAAGGTAGAATCTCAACAAACTAATACATCTAGCTGAACCCGAGACTAGTGTATGTCATGCTACAGGGCGCAAAAAATAACTGTGTGTGCAATTTGCATTCTGCAAATTAGACTAGGCCAATTTAAAATGAAGCCACAAGAAATTTCCACTTCAAAGTTGTCAAACTCCCCCCCCCTAAAACAGGGCAAAACAAAACCTAAAACAACCTTCCAACAGTAAATTATACATTTAGGCCTAGCAAAACAGAAAAGACATTTAATGCCCCCACCAATTACAGCTATAAATTAATTATCTGTCCCTTTGTTTCCTAGTACTAATATCCAAATTATATTTGACAGATTATATTGAATGCTGCTACTGGCACACAAAAAGTTTTTAAATCTGTTCGCTTCTACTATACCTGCGTTGCTTAGCTCTGCTAGTTTTTCCACATTTTGCCCAAGACATTTTTATGGTATTGGCCAGACTTAAGCTGCTCTTAATATCCAGAGAAAAACATTAGAATTACTGAAGTCTGCAATAAATTTCTGAACTGCTTTTCTTACTGAAAAAGCACACTTTTTTCACTTGATTTATTACAATAAAAATCAAATGAAATCTCTAGGTATTCCTTAGATCAGACATATGCAATTTGTTATAAAAAGTCTACTTATCACACTTTTGCACTGCACTCTGTTGATGTAAGTGTAAAATCAACTCAGCCATGTTATTACTTGTTGTATATAGCCCACAATCTCACAGTGATCACACTAGTAGGTGGCTGAATTTTAGTGCTGGAGAGTGACAAATCTGTATATTAAAAACTAAATTTAATGTTCCCTTGGATACAAGCAATATAAAAACACAGCTACTCAACAGTTCATAACAGTCCCTGATAGAGGGTCTTATTTCTTTGCTCTGCTGCTTTCAGAACGGAATAAACTTTACTAATGAAGCATCAACCTCTGTGCTACTGCGAAAGAAACAATAAGCAATGAGACATTACTCATTGGTAGCAATGGTTACTCACTACTCGTTGGTACGCCAATGGCTACCTCTGCACAATTTAAGATAATGTACTTTCTCTTTTTTAGGAGTCTGAAGCAATGCATTTTGGGGTAGATAATAAATGCTGTTGGGAACTTGTGACAGTGACAGATTATAGAACAGGAAGCTGACTAAGGATGACATCTTGAGTCTTCTGCAGCTACGTTTACATACGTTCTTGGCCTACAGCAGTCCACCTCTCATCCACCTTTCTCTCTACTTGTCTACTTACTTATTCTAACACAGCAGATGTTTTTGTTTCTTTACACTTATATATTCCATCTTGGTTGACCACAGGATTTTATTCTATTCTTTTTTTCTTCTTTTTTCCACATAGATACATTCACTGATCTCTAAGAGCAGAACACAGACCTACCTGTTTGGAGTTTAGGTACAGCTTGACCGTCAGGTAACCATGGTAGCTATATTTTAATGTAAACTCCTTTTGTTTTAGCAAGGCTTTAAACATGGTCTCCTAAAGCATCCTTATACACAAGTTGGAACATTCTGTCTAGATAGGTGGACTACTACGTAGGTGAAAAACTGGATGGATGATCATGTTCAAAGGGTAGGGGTTATTGGTCTGTACTCTACTGGGTGACTCATTACCAGTGGAGTTCCTCAGGGGTCTAGCCTGGGACATACTCCGCTTCATATTTGTATTAATAACCTGGAGGAGGACACAGAATGGGCCCTCATCAAATTTGCAGATGCCAAAATGGGTGATGCAAGTGACTTGCTCAAGGGCAGAGCTTCCATTCAGAGAGACCTTGATATGCTACAGGCATGGGCTGGCAGAACTTTGTGAAATTTGATGAGGACAAATATGAAGCCCTACATCTGGGACAGACTAAGCTCCACAGCAGTACAGGCGGGGGACTGGCTGGCAGGGGAGCAGCCTGGATGAAAAGGACCTGAGGATCCAGGTGGACAGGGAGCATGAGCCCACAGCACATGCTGGCAGCAATGAAGGCTAACAGAAGACTGGGCTGTATCAGCAAGAGCCTAGCCTGCAGGTAGAGCAAAATTACTCTTCCCCTTTACTCAGCACTCCTTTAGACCCTGTGAGGAGTACTCTGTCCACAGTTGGCTCTGCAGTGCAACACAGAAGTTGATAAGCCAGAGCAAAGGCAGCAAAGGGCCTCAAAGATGACTAGGAGCTGAAGAACATGACCTGTGAGGAGAGGCTGAGGGAATTGGGCTGGGCTTGTCTAGCTCAGAGAAGAGATGGCTTCAAGGAGACCCAGCAGCACCCTTCTGATACTCGTTGGGAAGACAGAGGCCACCTCTTTACTAAGGTGCATGGTGAGAAGACAAGAGAAGACACAGTGGGAAGACAGGTTCCCAAAGTTGTCATCAACAACCTGCTCTGAATGTTAATCCTGCCGAGTGGGAGGCTGGACAAGATGATCTCCTGAGATCCCTTCCAATCTAAATGATTTTGTGATAAGCACTGCGCTAATCAGCAGTCCCCAGTTTTACCCAGACAAAAATAAAGAAAACAACTTACCAACCAAAACTACAAGCCTGTATTTGTCATGAGGTTGTCGTCTATATTTTGCAACTTCTTCGTATGTTGGGATATCTGCTGTATCATACTGATCACTCTTCTTGCACTCATACATAGATTTGTTTGTTTTTTTATCTTTTCTGCTAAGACGAAAGCTCCTTCTAAAACCAGCTGCAATAAGAACAGGATTTTTTTCAAAGTAAGAAAATAAGTCTTCTCAAAGTATTTGAAAATGTCTCATCCAAACAGTTGAGAATTGGCGCATGGAATAAAAAAATGGATTATATGTTTAATAAGCCAGGTCATAAGAATGATATTTGCCCGCAGTTTTAAACTATGTCAGGTGCCTATTTAAACTGCAGAATTAAGATTACCAGTGGCAACAAGGAGCTGTAAAATATAATTACAATAAGTTGTTAACAGATTTAGATAATTTCAGTGTCTTATACATTAGTATATCTACACAAGGAAATTCATGCAAGCTAGACTCTCATACCATACTTAATGCATTTCTATTAAATCACCATGGCACACATATCAAATACAACATACGGTAGAAATACATCTGGTGGTTGAAAGGGTTAATGAGAATTAACTCCTTGAACAATTTTTTTGTGCTCAGCTCTATGCTGATAGCATACAAAAAGTGCACAAAGACAAAGATGTTTAAAACCAAACACTGTTAGTTAAATTCCAAAACACTATGAAACATCTTAGGTAAGAGAGTACCCATATAATGGATATCGTAACATGAAATTAAAAAATAATATTAAATTAATATAAATGAAAATTACATTTTCATTTACAGTTGCATCCACAGTGCGACATCTACAGTGCCTATCTAGAAGACTGGAAATTTCACATAGCTTTTAAGTACTCTCAAAGGAGGTAACAATAGGCATTTTCAGGCGAAACAGCACAAAAAAACCCCTTCTACACTATATGTTAGGAACCAATTTACTCCTCTGTGAATGATTACCTTACAGTTTTTCAAATAAATCCTTTACATTGCATTGTATTACATTTTATTGGTATCTCTATGGCACTGCTTTTGCTCTAGAAGGAACTACAGGAAGGACTGCAAAGCTTACTTCATTATTTGGGGGTAATAAAGTAAAACACAAACTACACTTTAAATACTGGAAAAATCCCAACACCCTTTTTTTTGGCCAGAACATTTCATAGGACAGTAAACACGCGTAAACTTTTGGTGACCCCAGATTTTTCAGCAATATGTTTTCATAAACTTGTAAAAGCACTTATGTTTAGGTGTTTGAGAAGTAATCACGTTACAATTTTTTCTTCAAAGGTAGTATCTGGCAAATTCAAGACTCAGTTCTGCAAATATTTAGAACCAGATCTGAAGTGAAATCCTATGAGGCTTAGTTACAGGCTTAGCATCTTACATATACACAGTTCCACTTAGCATAAATCTTTGCAGAACCTGGATCATGGAGGATGTTAAGCAAGTTATTTTATTGATGTGAGCCCCTATAACTATGGCAATTCACAACACATGCACACACACAAAAAGAGAAGATTTATTTGAGAATACAGTGATGTCAACCTATTCATATTCAAAATATGAATAAGTAAAATGAAAATTGGTGAAAGAAGAGCTAGACAGGTATATAAAGAAAGGTTAAAAGTAACATTAGCAATACAGACACATGAATTGGGTCACAAGTTTCCTGAAGGCAAACCTTAAAGGCTCCAGGTTAAAAAAAAAAAAAAAAAAAAAAAAAAAATCAGTTGCCCTAAAAGCAAGCTGAAAATTGTTCTGATTTTTTTTTTTTTTTTTACATAATCTTTTTATGGAAAGGAAAAAAAGAAGGAAAGAAATAATTCTTCCCATTTGCTACTAAATGATTTTCAGAATAAAGACCTTTGTCACAAAAACTAGAATCCACATATCTGGAAAAGGTAAAAAGTAAGGGTAGAGATCAAATGAAGCTAAGCCAGTCATCTCCATTGCTGTTTGGTGTTGATCTTACAAATACCTCCGTGCCTCTGATTAACTGTATCATAGCGTGATTACCAACAGCTTCTTAACCTCGGTTTACATGTCAACCTGTGCAATCTTTAGGAAAAATATCCTCTCTGCAAAATCTTCCTGTCAATTCAATCTCTGCTGTTAGGTTTTAGTAAGACCATTTGTAACTTGTTTCTCTTTTCTCCATCCATGTTATTCAGATTTCATTACCAGACTACCAGGTGGTGGGTTAAAGAATTTTCATTCCTTCTCTTAAACAAGAAAAAAAGTTTTTTTTTGTTTTTGTTTTTTTTGTTTGTTTGTTTGTTTTGTTTTGTTTTGTTTTTTTTTTAATTGGAAAGGAGAAAATCTTTCCGTGCTGTCTTCAGGCTCATTTGTCCTTTGTCACTTTTACAGGCTGCATATAAAGCATCACAAAGACTGGGGTGATACGGTTCCACTGCTAACATGGGTTTCCTTGATTAAAACATCCAATATTTCTGTGACTGAACTCACTGGTAAAGTTAAAATAGTAATATTGTCCTGTATTTTAAGAAGGTTCAACAGAAAGTTCACCTAGGACTTAGACATTACAGAAAAGCTATTATATTAATTAAAAAGAACAAACAAACATGGGAGCCAGAGGTAACAAAGCAGATTTCCAGTAGGTCTGATTTCTTTGCAGTGTGCTGGTAAAGATGCTCTGTAAAACTACTGAATATTACAAACCTGTGATATGCTGATCGCTTTATCACTTTAAGACTATTGTCAATTTGAAAGTTGTTTTAAATGTTTCTCAAAGCACATCCAAATAGCCCTATACAGAAGCACAAGCAAGCTTGCGTTAAGCAGCTTTTAAAACCGAGGAAAAGGTACAGTACAGAGAGAAAGGATGAGACTGTTTCAAAAATATCCCACATTTTTATGATACTGCTACTGCATTCCTGGAAACATGATTCTCCCTCTCTCACATCTGCCATTATATATCCTCACATATGTGGCTTAACTTTACTACCTCCAGAAGTTATTTTATAAAAAAAGTTAATAAATATTTTTTATTGAACTCTGCATTTATAATTGCATTATAAGTTGGGCAGCTATGACTGTGCAAAAAGATTAAACTGCCTTGAAACATCATCATATTTGCAAGGAATAAAAACATTTATGAACAAGCAAAAAATAATCTGCTAATGTTTTCCTATGTTACAGTATAGGAAAGATAAAAACAAACTTCGTATATTTAAATTAACAATAGACCATTATTAAAAACATAGTGAAAATCACTATGGAAAAACAAAACCAATACTGATATGCAATAGAAAAATAAAGTTTCTACAAAATGACTAAGCTTAAAAGTAAATTTCTATAAAGAACAAAGGGAAAAAGCATTGCTTGCCCAGAATATTTGATAATATAAGCCTCACTGAATATGAAAGGAGCTGCAGGCTACAGTGTCTGGAATATGGATATCAGCAGAGATTAACCTTAGTTGCCAAGTATGCAGACTATAAAATAAAAGGGGAAAATTCCATCACTAAAGCAACATAAAATTATGACCATTGAGAAGCTTGCACCAGCTCACTGGGTTCAGCTACATGACTAGAAGCTTACTGAACATGTAAACCCATAAACTACTGCGGAATGTAACAGGTTCGGTGAAATAAGAGCAGCCGCTGGGAAGAAAATATGAAGAACAAATGTTCTCAAACTACAAACGTCTCCAAACCTTATAACAGTTCTCAACATGAAATAAAAATCAAAAGCTGCTACTCATAAACTTAATTAAGGCCCAGCAACAATCCAAGAGAAACTACTTACATCGCTAAGAAAAAGAATGAAAAAAACCTTAGCAGAAATGTGTGATTCTTCTTTTAAACCACTAGCAATATATACATTTGGTCATCTCAGAACAACATATTTACACTTCATAGAATCATAGAATAGTTTGGGTTGGAAGGGACCTGTAAAAACCATTGAGTCCAACCCCCCTGCAGTGAGCAGGGACATCTTCAACTAGATCAGGGTTGCTCAGAGCCCCGTCCAACCTGACCTGGAGCGTTTCCAGGGATGGGGCATCTCCCACCTCTCGGGGCAACCTGTGCCAGTGGTTCACCACCCTCATTGTCAAAAATTTCTTCCTTACATCTAGTCAAAATCTACGCTCTTTCAGTTTAAAACCATTACTCCTTGTCCTTTTGCAACAGGCCCTGCTAAAAAGTCTGTCCCCATCTTTCTCAAAAGCCCCCTTGAAGTCTCGGAAGGCTGCAATAAGGTCTCCCTGGAGCCTTCTCTTGTCCAGGCTGAGCAACCCCAACTCTCTCAGCCTGTCCTCACAGGACATTTACATAACGAAATCCACTTTCACCTCACACTGAAATCCAAGCTGAAAACAGGCAACACATGAACCTGTCTTCCCTAAAATATTTTAAAAGGATGCTTGATGTAAAAAGCTGTGCTTATTTAGATTTTATTACATAATTCTCAAGAAGAGTGAACAAAAGATTGCGACTATGTTCTCTGAATTTATATCCAAATACATTCACGACAGTAGAAAGTTAATTTCTCAAATTGAGAGAAATTGCACTAACAGTGCAGTTATTTAAATTCACCTATACTTCATGAATTCACCAGTAAAGCTCCAGAATGCTATAAGGCACTTACACATGCTTTTATTCATCTTCATTAATTAAAACAAGTGCTTAAGTATGTGTTTAAATTATGTATATTCTTTGCTGAATTTAGTCTACAGACTTACAGAACTTAGAGTGAACAAATGCTGTTTTATTTCTGAATGCATTTACAGGTACTTTTTGTATTCATATTTCTGACAAAAGCAAGTTTGGTACCATTACCTAGGTCTGTATAAATACAGTATTTTTACTAGATATTTCTGGATTTCCCCCCCCCCCCCAAATATTGGGATTTTTTTATACTGGCTCATATACCAAGTATTTCTATTGTTACACAGGAACTGCACAAACACAGAGCAGACTTCTTACTCTGCTTGCTTCTGGACTGATTCCCAGCTTGCACATTTAGACAGGGTTAATAAAAATTTAGATTATGTCTGGATTTTTAAGACAAAATTGAGAATAGTAAACAGATGATATTCATCTATATTTACTGTACGTTCATAAAGATTCAAGTAATGTAACTAGACTTTACGCTTGGCAAAAGCAAACTCCTAATGTTCTCCCCA